CCTAAGCTCTTATACAACTTTGTAGCACCTCCATTTTTAAATCCAAAATAAATTAGTAAGGATCAATCGAATTAATTAAACATCTATTAAAATTGTAGAAGCATAAACCACAAAAAAAAATAATAATAAAAAAAAAATTGAGGTACTTCCGCCACGTTGAGACATCTATCTATATCCAAACGAAATGCTAAATCAAAAATTAAATCAACATCCAACTTTATTCCAATCTCTGATAAAATAATTTCAGATTACTAACTGACAAAATAAATAAGTCTAATCCAACTAACTATTTTTGCGATGAAATCGGTTTCGGTATACCGTGACAACCCAAAATTTAATTTTATAAATTCGGTTTTTAAAAAATTCCAAAATAGCCATTTCACTCTATAAAAATTTTTGCGATGAAATTGGTGTTTGAATAAATTATTTTGAACCACTTTTAAGTAAATTCTACACCAAAACTTATTTTTAAATCTAAAATCCTAAATTTTCAGGTACTTCGCGTACCAAGTTTTTAAACTGAGAAACCAATATGAGTGAGATCGGAAGAAACCTGAACCAAGTGTTTGTTTAGAAATCATCTTTGGAAAAATCTATTTTGACCCCAAACTATTTAAAATCACTTTTCTAGACTATGGTCCATGTTGCAAGGTGGACCATAAGCCTTCAACCCCTTGTCTGATATTTTCTTTAGAATCAACCAAAAGACTACTTTGCCCTCCACCAATCATTGAGTATTATCCCAGGGTTTTGAACCCATATAAAAGTAATAAGAACCCTTTCATTTTTCTCCTGATTCCCTTCTTGGCTACCATACCATAGCTCCACAGCTCAAATGGAATTCACATTAAGTATTTCTTCAACCTTAGCCTTCCATTTTCCTCCATTGTTCATCCCCTTTTTTCTCCGAGAACTTAGTAGCAAGTTGTTGTTGGTTTATTGGGGATGTTTAGGAGGTGAAGGAGGTTGTAGCTAGCTAAAGAAGAGGTGGAATCCAAGCTAGAAGAAGAAGAAAGCTACAAAGGTATAACCCCATGGAATCTCAATCTCTTTTTGGCTCTGTGGAGCCACTGTTATATTGTTAGAAATGAGTAGAAATGCTTGATTATTGTGTGTTTGAGCTATTAGATGACTTGTTGTTGTTGTATAATGTGTTGGTGAAGATTTGGAAGTGAAATTTTGTCTGGAAATGTTTTACAAATGAAGAAGAAGATTCTGGTGCACAACACAGTGTGCACCAGATAGAGTTACGGGCCTAGCCAACAGCCCATGAGGGGAGTCGCTGGCTAGGGCCGTGATGGGACGGTCCTAGGGCACGACCCTAGGCAAGGGCCGTGGCCCTAGGCCGCCGTTGGCCGGCTCTAGGCGGCGGGCCTCTCCTAGCCCCGCCTCCAGGACCGTTGCAAGCTTCATGTGCAGTGGCCGGACCCTTGTGGCTCAGCTACGTGTCGTTTCGGACCAGGTGTCACAGGCCCTTGTGGCTCGGTACCTCGGGATCGTCTTGACGCACATTTTGGCTTTGATTTTGTGGAATTTAGATTAGAAATGAGCATGTTATGATAGAATTTGTGATGGAATTGTTTACAGCAAATTGCAAATGTGATGTATCAAGAGTTATACTGTCTGTGGGAATTTCTTGTTATCTTCCTGATTCTATTTGAGTATTGAATAGAAAAGCATGAGCATTTTGTGAATGAGAATTGTTAGAGAAGCATGACTAGAATGTGTTTTATGTCCAATGGGAATTGTAGTCTTTTGATGAGGTGTACAGAACATGTTAGTTTGAATTCCAAGCATGAATAAGTGTTCTTTGAGAAATTCACATTAATATAGAATTGAAGTATGTTGTGCAGTAAATTAGATTCCAAGCATATCATGTTTTATAAGTGCATAAATGGCCAACGTGAGACTAAGTATTATTTTCTAAAATTCATGAGCATATGGTATGTCATTGCCTTGTTGCATCGAGTAGTTGTTGAGATGTGACATGCATTTTGGTGCATGAGATATATATATATATATATATATATATATATATATATATATATATATATATATATATATATATATATATATATATATATATATATATATATATATATATTATCTATATCAGTGAAGTCTTGGAGGGTCCGTTGGGACTATGTCCTTTCGGAGTAAAAGAGGAAGTAACAGATATTGCGATCCGACAGATTTATCATGTAACGCGGTGTATTCCCACGTACGAGGTTGGAGACTGCCCGCCAGGCTTGGAATCCTGGTTAGGGGGTGTGCACACTAAAAGTACGATACCTAATTCCACAGAGAAAGCAAGCAAGAAAGAAAGATATAGAACCAAGAGAGTGGTTCTGTGGGCGAGTTGAGTATGTGGCCGACTAGATTGCCGAGCCGGTTAGGTCCATTCACGATTCGTGAAGACCTACCTCCCCACGAGTTAGAGGTTCCGTAGTTACGCATGTGGCGGATGCACGAGATTGCACCGTACGCTAGGGCTTCGCTACGGCGGAGTACCTGCATCGCACAAGAAGAGAAATGAGAAGTATGAGAAAGTTTGAGCAAGAAAGAAATCGAGTCAAGAGACTCAAGAGAAAGAAAGTGAGTCATTGTGACTCTAAGAAACCTCCACAGAAAAGTATTCTATTTTACAAACGAGTGTATGAGTATACTTATAGTATTGCACGAGATTGCATAATGAGAATGTTTGCACGAGATTGCATTTGAGTATAGTATTGCACTAGATTGCATTTGAGAATGATTAACCGAGATTGTATATCGAGTATGATTGCTCTAGTTGCATTTTGATGTCTTATATATCTAGTTTAGTAGTTTGCATGATGAGAACTTGAAAGCATGAAGATAATTTTGTATTGGTTGTTAGTATGAGATTGATTGATAGCTTGAGTTCGTTGTGATGAGATTTGTTATGAGAAATATGTGTTGGGGTGTTTATGTTGATGAGTTTTATATATATTTGAGGCATGCTTGTTGATATTATAGGTTGTAAGCATATAGAAAATTTGTGATGTATCTTAAAGTTGTCTAAGTGTTGAGATTGCTTGATTAGAGTTTGTGAACAAATGTTTTTCCAAAATATATACTGTAGTACTTTACAGGGTTAAGTGTGGTTATATTTAGCTTCGTGCTAACGGGTGTTTTCCTGCTTGTCTATGTGTTGTTTTGCAAAACCCCTTTCAGGTGGACCCAGCGTTTGAGAGATGATCGAGTTAGACTAGTCTAGTAGATCTAGTAGTCTGAACTCTCTTTATTATCATGATGTTTAGTTTTGTGGATTTGTAGACTTTGATGTTTATGTTCGATGTCAGACTTCGGGATGTTTTCCCTTTATGAGTTTTGATTAAGTAATATGATTGTTAGTTACTTTTATTATTCTAGTTCCATCCTTAGCCTGTGCAATCACCATGGAGTGGTGGTTGTGGCGGTGACATTCCCACTAGTTTACTTATTAAGTTGTTTATCCGCTGCTTAGTTTATATTAATGGTGTTTTAGAATTGTAATTAAGATTAAGAAAAGTGGGGTGTTACAGCTACTTACCCGGATTTACAACTTGGAAATGTCACCATAAAACGTTTTGCTGATGGTGAAGTTTATGTCAACATCCGAGAAAGCATCAGAGGTTGTGATGTATGTCTTGTTCAACCTTCTTGCCCTCCTACAGATGAATATCTTATGGAGATTTTGGTAATGATTGCTGTTGGGAAAAATGCAATTCACTCCTTAATTATGTAGTGGTTTAACATTTACCACAAATTAATGAGTGGTTAAGGTACTTTAAATAATATGAGGCCTAAATTGCTTGGCCTCTATTATTTAAACAGGGTTTTGCCTTAGTTTAAAGACACCAAGAAAAACATTTTCACCGTGAGAACTAATGTAGTCGTGTGTCATTAGTATGTATGTTGTGTGCATGGCCGAATGTAGTCGTGTGCCATAATTTATATGTCGTGTGCATAGGTTTGTTAAGTAATCCACGGACAGTTCAGGAGGTGGTGGACATGGTGCCCCGTAAGCAACCCGACTTTGTATTTCTGATGGAAACTAAGGTGGACGCGATCATGCTGAGCGTCTTCGGATCAAGATTGGATTTGAGGGGTTATTTTATGTTGATAGCAGTGGTTTCAGAGGACTAAGTGGCGATTTAGCATTGTTCTGGAGGAAGAATAATACGGCAAGGCTCCTTAGTTACTCAAAGAACTATGTGGATATTAAGGTAACTATAACCGGCTTCCCGATGTGGCGTATGACGTGTTATTATGGTTTCCCGGAACGAACCAGGCGTTCTGAGTCATGGGACCTTTTGAGGGCATTATCAACTAGATCCGGCCTTCCATGGATCGTAGTGGGAGACTTCAATGATCTATTATTCCAGTATGAGAAAAGAGGGGGAAATCCACATCCGAATAGCCTCCTTCGCGGTTTTGGGGATACTATTGGGGACTATGGTTTGACTCAAATGCCTATGGAATGCTATCCATACACATGGGAGAAGGGGAAGGGAACAGTTGATTGGATTGAGGAGAGACTTGATAAAGTCCTGGCAACAGATGAGTGGCGTAGTATGGTAACAATGGCCAGGGTGGTGAACTTGAGAACCCGAAAATCTAATCATTCGGCTATCTATCTGGGTATCCATGAATCCCTAGGGACGAATGGAACGAGAAGGAGGGGATTCCGTTTTGAGGCAGCGTGGTTATATGAGGAGGGGTGTAGAGGGGTGGTCGAGCAGGCATGGCAGGAAGGAAGGGGACAGGGTCTGCAGCATTGTATTGAATACTGTGGTAGTCGATTAACACGATGGGGTGGAGATCGGCACCATAAGTATGGTAAGCAGATTATTGATCTTAAGAAGAAGAAGCAACGACTAAGGGGATGCACTGACCCGGCTTCGCTTGCTGAGTTTCAATCCCTGGAACAACTTCTATGCCGTACTGAAGCCCAGGAGGATGCCTACTAGAGGCAGAGAGCCAAGCAACACTGGCTCATGGAGGCTGATGCCAATACCAAGTTCTTTCACAGGTACGCCTCTCATCGTAAAAAGAAGAATACTATTGCCAGACTAATGAATGATAATGGGGATTGGGTGGAAGGGGAACCCATGAATAATGTTATTTTGGAATATTTCAATCGTATTTTTTGCTCTGAAAATCCGGGATCTGGGGAGAGTTTTTTTGAGGGAATTGTCCCGCGGGTCACTCAGGTACAGAATGAGTTGTTGTTACGGCCTTTTGAATTTGATGAAGTGAAATCGGCCCTGTTTGCAATGTTTCCTGATAAGGCACCGGGCCCGGATGGAATAAACCCAGGGTTCTATCAGCATTTTTGGGATGTGGTAGGGGGGATGTTGTGAGTTTTGTCATAGGATGTCTTAACTCACGCGATCTACCACCTAGCTTAAACAGTACAGATATTATTTTGATCCCAAAGAAAAATACCCCTGAGCTAGTAACTGACTTGCGTCTTATAGCCCTCAGTAATGTGATCTATAGGATTATGGCAAAGATGATAACAAATAGAATGAAACCGCTGATGGAAGGAGTCATATCAGAATTGCAGAGTGCCTTTATTCCAGATAGGCTTATAACTGATAATATTTTGGTAGCAGTGGAGGTGGGTCATTTTTTGAACAGGAAACAGTGTGGCATGCTGTGGTGGAGTGCTCTGAAGCTTGATATGGCAAAGGCCTATGACCGGATGGAGTGGCCTTTCCTGGAAAAAATGATGTTAGCTTTGAGTTTTGATGTTGGATGGGTGCAGTTAATCATGAAATGTGTATCTACAATCTCATATAATTTATTGGTGAATGGCTCTAGGAGTGATCCTATTTTACCCACACGTGGTTTAAGGCAGGGAGGCCCACTATCTCCTTATCTTTTTATTATTTGTGCAGAGGGCCTTTCTTTGTTATTACAGAAGGCTCACAATAGGGGTTTGATCCATGGATGTAGAGTGGCAAGAGGTGCTCCCCCAATCTCTCACTTGTTCTTCGCTGATGATAGCCTTCTATTTTTTAAAGCCAATGTTCAAGAGGCCAGTGAGGTCAAGAGGTGTCTATCAGTTTATGAGGATTTATCTGGGCAAGTGGTTAATTACCACAAGTCAAGCATATGTTATAGTAGGAACACGAGTAACGCAAGTAAGGAAGTGGTGGAGCAAGTTCTGGGAGTTGGTCAGGCTCCTAATTTTGGCAAGTATTTGGGACTCCCCTCATTTGTAAGGAGAAACAAAAAGGCAGCTTTTGCATATATAGAGGATAAAATCCGGCAAAGAATTGGGTCACGGAATAAGAGGTTATTATCACAGGCAGGTAAAGAAATTTTATTGAAAAGTGTAGCACAATCCATGCCTACCTTTTCAATGAGTGTCTTCCTGCTGCCAACTTCTGTGTGTACAGCGATTGAGAGGACTATGAATCATTACTGGTGGGACTCTGGAACTGATAGAAGGATACATTGGAAGGCTTGGGACAAACTGTGTGTTCCTAAGAAATATGGGAGATTGGGATTCAAGGAGTTGCGTGCTTTTAACCTGGCTATGTTGGGTAAACAGGCGTGGCGAATGCTTACTAAACCTGAGTCCCTGGTGGCTCGTATATATAAAGCACGGTATTATGCCAAAGGCTCATTTTTTGATGCACAAGTGGGGAATAATCCTAGTTTATGCTGGCGGAGTATTATGGCAGCCAAGAGTATAATTTGCAGTGGGGTAAGACGTAGGATTGGAAATGGGGAGTCTACACTCATATGGACCCATCCCTGGTTACAGGACGACCAAGACCCCATGATACAAACAGAGATGCCAATACAGTTACAGGATGCCAAGGTGGTGGGATTGATTGATCAACAAACACGGACTTGGGATCTTTCAATTTTAACTGATCTTTTTCATCCTAGTGATGTGGCAAATATTCTAAAAATACCAGTTTCTCCGGATTATGATGATACTTGGTATTGGCCCGGGGACCAGAGAGGAGTTTATTCTGTAAAAGGCGGATACAGATTAATAGTTGGTAATTATGGCAATGAGAATGGGACCTTTACAAAATGGTTAACCTTGTGGAAACTCAAAATCCCCCAAAATGGAGAATGTTCCTATGGAGAGCCATTTGTGATATTCTGTCTACCACTTCTAACTTGCTTATAAAGAGGGTAGAAGTAAGCCCATATTGTGCCATGTGTGGAACATCTCAAGAGGACACTATGCATGCTTTAGTGCTATGTGAATTTGCAAAGAACATTTGGGACCGATCCAACCTTCCAATCCCCAATATTATAACGAATGTTTTTCATATTTGGTTTGGTGAGCTCCTAAATGTTTTAGATTTTGATGGGATGTTATATGCAGCATCAATCCTCTACAATATTTGGAGAGCACGGAACGGGGCGGTTTGGAATGCTCTATTACCACAGCCACAATCTTTGTTGGCAGCAGTGAAGTCGGCATTGCATGCATGGAAGAGGGCAAACCCACCAGCAGTCCAAAGTCACGCACCACTGCCTACAACGCAATCTCATCATCTTGGCTCTCATGCGCCACTCGGGCCTCACGGTACTGTACAGGAGGAGCCACCTCGGAGGCTATGCCGCATCGACGCAAGGTTTATACAAAATATGGGCAAGGCTACGGTTGGGGAAATCCTCTTAGACATGAATGGAGGGTATGTCGCGGCCTTCAGTGCACCCCTCCCGGTTTATTTCTCACCACTTATAGCCGAGGCATTGGCATGCAAGGAGGCTTTGTCATGGTTAAAGGATCGAGGGGAACAGAACATCGAAATATATACTGATTGTTTAATGCTACAGCGTTATCTTACTACACCGTCTACTACGTTTTGCACTTACGTCGGCTATGCCATTGATGCCTGCAGAGCAGCCACAGTTTATTTTCAGTCTTTTTCTTTCCATTTTATTCCTAGACTAGACAATTTTATAGCTCATGCCTTAGCTACTTCAGCATACCAGCAATCGGCTGCTATGTACTGGGATATTCTCCCACCAGACATTATTTCGACATACTTTTAATAAAGCACCACATATATTTTCAAAAAATAAAAAAATAAAAAAGAGCCTGGGTCCGAAACCTGATGTTTACATGTATTCTTGTGTGCCATTGTGTATTAAGTTTTGTGCCTGATACTAATTTATCGCGTGCCCGTAAACAGTCCGCACAGTCCTCTATATATTGTGGTTCTGATGTGAACTCAACCACATCACCTTCGATGTTCTGATTATATTTATAATCGCACTCAGGTGCGAATGCTTCGCCCAAGCACGAAATAGGAATGGATTCTGTCCGTCCACGTGTCTAGATCTAATGGATGAGAAACACTGATTTTTTTTAAAAAAGCGCGGTGGCATTTTCGTCAATAATTGAACATCGAAGTGCAAATAAAATGCATTACAAGTGCATGTAAAATATATTATAGGTGAAAGTAAAAATTTATACTGAGCATCAATACTAAGTGCACATATAGTTATAAGTAGTTGCACCTATAGTTCTAAGTAGTTGCACAAATAGTTATAAGTAGTTGCACCTAGATGCATGAATGTTTGCGGGTGGTTTTCAGGGGTATTACTACCCGCTGAACTCAGATCAATGAATGTTAACAAGGCAAAATTACATGCACTTATAGGTGAAAGTAGATGCACCCATAGTTATAAGTAGTTGCACCTATAGTTATAAGCACACTCAGGTGCATGAATGTTTGCGGAAAGTGAGTGCTAACAAGGCAAAATTACATGCACTTATAGGTGAAAGTAGGTGCATTTTTAAGTGATTTTACTTGCACTTCGATGTTCAATTAGTTACGAAAATGCCACCACGTTTGTTTAAGCTATTAGATCTGGACATGTGTCGCGCGCTGATTCGTTCGCGTATATATATATATATATATATATATATATATATATATATATATATATATATATATATATATATATATATATATATATATATATATATATACACACACACACTAGTTTTTTACGCGCATTTTGCGATTGGGGTAATGCCCAATGTTTTTTTCTTTTTAAACAATTACTTTAAAGTGTATCAATACAAGATTATATTGGAATTGTTCATGCATAGATAATTGAATATTAAATTTGCGTATTTAAATAGGCAATTCTAAGTTTACAAATGCAAGATAATATAGTCAAGATTGATTATAAATGTCAATAAAATAATTATTTAGATATGGTTGAAACCAAATACGGGACATAAGGGAGAGCAAATAAAAATTATGGCATAAAATATTAAATATATACTAATAGTGAAGAGCTAACGGGTGATTGTCAAACAATGACATTGCGAGCTAGTTTCCCACTTCAATTTGTTGTGTGATTTGAATACTCTTTTTGTCAATAAATCCTTCAAGTAGTTAATATGAGTGGCTTAATTATATTTTTTTTTTATTTTTTTAAAACAATTATTATTATTATTATTATTATTATTATTATTATTATTATTATTATTATTATTATTATTATTATTATTATTATTATTATTATTATTATTATTATTATTATTATTATTATTATTATTATTATTATGTATACCCTTAGATAATTTTACATGTTAATTTAAACAGCTAATTTTTTCAAATATCTTTTTACCAACTGTTGATATAATTCGCTGGTCAAATTCGCCAATATAATCCGTTAACGCTAACCGCTAACTGCTAATTGTCAAACAAGGACATTGCGAGGTAGTTCTCACTTCAATTTGTTGTGTGATTTGAATACTCTCTTTGTCAACAAATCCCTCAAGTAGTTAATATGATTGACTTTATTAATTATATATTTTTTATTTTTTCATGGTATTAATAAAATACTTGGTAAATAAATATATAGTATTATTTTTTATTATAACTTTGATATTTAATTAAAAAATAGTGCACAAAAAAAAATAATAGAATATTTTTTTAATAAAGATATTGTAGGGACAATGTAGCGAATATAATCAATCGATGAATTGAATGTAAAGAATTTTTATATTGGAGAAAAATAAATACAATATAACTAATGAAATTATTTCTCTTATTTAATTTATTGATAATGAATATTTTTTTTTTTGAATAAAGATATTGTAGACACATAATTCTAAATTAAAGAAACGCATATGTATTATTTTTTGTTGTAGCTACAAAATTTTTATTTTTATTTAATAACAGTAAAATAGAGTACTAATTATGCCAACTTTGATTGGGATGGGGTTCGAACCTAAGACCTTTCTTATTGAAATCAATAAGTAATTTAACGGTAAACTAACCGAAATTAACGGAAAAGATAATATTTAACGGAAAAGTTAACGGATAATCACATTCATTAGGGATAAATTAGGAAATCTTAAGGAAAAATTAGAATCTGATCAATCTGAGCCATTCATTTGATTAAAAAATTTGACCGCCATTTTTTCTACCCATTATAGGCCTAACTCTTTTGGGCTCTTATTAGTGTGTGTGTGTGTGTGTGTGTATATATATATATATATATATATATATATATATATATATATATATATATATATATATATATATAATCGCACTCAGGTGCGAATGCTTCGCCCAAGCGCGAAATAGGAATGGATTCTGTCCGTCCACGTGTCTAGATCTAATGGATGAGAAACACTGATTTTTTAAAAAAAGCGCGGTGGCATTTCCGTCAATAATTGAACATCGAAGTGCAAGTAAAATGTATTACAAGTGGAGGCGTTATTGGTTCTTTGTGTTTCAGTAGGTTGAGAAAGTATATGAACAGATACTACAATGTAATAGAGCCAGTAACTTTCAAAAAAAAAAAAAAAGTATTACAAGTGCATGTAAAATATATTATAGGTGAAAGTAAAAATTTACACTGAGCATCAATACTAAGTGCACCTATAGTTATAAGTAGTTGCACCTATAGTTCTAAGTAGTTGCACAAATAGTTATAAGTAGTTGCACCTAGGTGCATGAATGCTTGCGGGTGGTTTTCAGGGGTATTACTACCCGCTGAACTTAGATCAATGAATGTTAACAAGACAAAATTACATGCACTTATAGGTGAAAGTAGATGCACCCATAGTTATAAGTAGTTGCATCTATAGTTATAAATAGTTGCACCTATAGTTATAAGCACACTCAGGTGCATGAATGTTTGCGGGAAGTGAATGCTAACAAGACAAAATTACATGCACTTATAGGTGAAAGTAGGTGCACTTGTAAGTGATTTTACTGGCTTTTCAATGTTCAATTATTTACGAAAATGCCACCGCGTTTTCTTAAGCTATTAGATCTGGACACGTGTCGCGCGTTGATTCGTTTGCATATTCCTTCCTCGACACTTATTCGCACCTGAGTGCTTCCATATATATATATATATATATATATATATATATATATATATATATATATATATATATATATATATATATATATATATATATATATATATATATATATATATATATATATATATATATATATATATATTGGGCGAGAAGTTAAATCTAGACCTGGCAATTATGGACACGACTGGTTAACACGATACGAAACTGGACACGAAAATAACGGGTTAGTGTTTAGCCTTAATGTGTCCCGGGTCGTTAACGAGTTGACCCGTTAAGGACTCGTTATGTTTTGTGTCCTAACGGGTCAACCTGTTAAACATATTAAGAACTCGTTTAACTCATTAATATTATCATGTTAACCCGTTTATACAAACCTGTTTATAATCCGCTAAGAACCATTGTCATGACTAAGGATGAATTTACATTATTAGACCAAGATCCTACACCAACTATTGATGTTTAATAATCTGAAATTTGAATTTTTTTTGTGTTTAATTTTATTCTAAAAACTAGCATTGACTTCTTTAATTATGAATTTTGGATGTTATTTTATCATTTTATGAATGTTATAAATTGAATACTTTTTTAATTTGTTTGATGGATTGAATTGTAGGTTTTATCTCTTTTATATATATATATATATATATATATATATATATATATATATATATATATATATATAACATAACTTTAAATTTTTTAAAAAAATATATATTAATAGGTTTAGCGAGTTTAAACGGGTTTCATGTCATATCATGTCGACACAACTCAAAACCTGTTAACAAAACGTGTTTATCGTGCCAACCCGTTTAACCCTAACAAATCGTGTTCGTGTTAAAAAATTTGAATCCGTTAACCTTAATGTCGTGTCCATGTTTAACCTTATCGTATTCATGTCGTTATCGTGTCGACCCGTTAACGAACTTGTATACACGAATTGCCAGGTCTAGTTAAATGGAGAATTTTGTTTTTAATAATAGTATTGATTAATTAGATTAATAGTAAAATAATATCCTATAATTCTAATCTCAATTATTAATAACTAATTCTTTTTTTTTTTTTTGCAAAATCTTCCTTATATTCATTTCATTATATTAATAGTAAAATAAGGCGTAGAAATAATTTGGCTAAAGTGTCATCCCACACCCTGAACCATTCATGATTATTCATGCCGCACCATGATCTTTAATAAGTGATATTTAGATCCATAAACCATTATTTTTTGTTCGCCTAGAACTTTTTATAGGTTGCCTACCGGTTATAGGTTATCATATGCTGACATGGACTTTTTTTTTTCTTTTTTCATTTTTCTTGCTGACAGCGTGGACTATCTACCTTGCACGCGAAGCCTGCTTTCATTTTCATGCCTGGGACTGCAGCTGAGAGCTCAAATATTCAATCTTTGTCTCTCTCCAAATATGACATAGGTATCGGAATTCGGGTTGTTGAACACATTAGGTTGTGGTCGTCTTCCTCCTTTACGCTTTCCACCACTGGCTCAGGCTCATCATCATTCAGAAGCTTTTTCTCAGTATTAACTTCTTCAATAACAGGTCTATGGCAGAAGGTGTTTCAATTTCTGCTTTACTGGTTTTCTGTTGCCTTACGTTTTCTGCTTCAACTTTTTTTTTTTTTTTAAAGCACCAGAATAGAACGAATAAGAGAGGCCAAAAGGTTCTTCAATTTCAATATTAGTAGCTTGCCTGCCCTTTCCAATGGCAGCACCAAAGTACCTATAAGAAACTCCAGAAGGTTCAAGCATGTACGATGTAACTGTGGTCCATCTCTATCATATCCTTCAAAATCACCCCACAACCAAAAGGCCTGAGCCACCAATAAAGTATACATAAATGTACATAATTATTAACTAACAACTCTTTCAGCAAGTTCTTTCACTGGAATAGGTTCACCATAGACATACTCATAGCTGGTTGCTTCAGATTTAGTTGTTGCAACAATTTGCCTCCCATCAGCAGCAAACCCAACGACAGCGATGTCGGAATGGCGATGAACGGAGTGATTCGCCGATTAGATACTGGCAACATCATCTTCGAAGCAATCAGCTTCTCCACACCCATGACAATTCCATCCTTGCATTTGATGCCGATTACAGAGTATAGAGAAAGGCATGTCTCCTTATCATAGCCAGCCAGGAGGATATTCACAAAGTATGGATTCTTTCGCAAGGCAGTGGCAAGCTCGCCTCTGGTGAAGTTCGCGGCAGCGGCGGTCGTCAAAGGAATGTCGTTGTGGAACTAATACAGCGCTACATTCTTCTGAATGTATTCCGTAAATTGAACTCTGTCGTCGGCTTCGCCGCTAGCGCCCATTAGCTTGTGAGAATCGAGGATCATGATTTTATCCTCGTTGAATTTGTGGACGAGGATGCTGTGCACGGCGGAGGTGTCAGCGACCACCAGCGCAAAGCCGTTTCCGACCATACCGAATTAGAGTTTGGGGTAGGAAATAGGGAAACAGTTTAATTTTTTTTTTTTAAATAATAATAAAATAAAAAATAAAAATTACTTACATGGACTAAGAAATAAGGCCACGTCAGCTTATTACCGTGCCATGTCATCAGGATTACCGGGAAACCTATAAAAAGTTCTAGGCGACAAAAAAATAATGATTTATGGATCTAAATATCACTTATTAAAGATCATGGTGCGGTATGAATAATCGAGAATGGTTCATGGTGCGGGATAACACTTTAGCCAAATAATTTTAAAACATTGTGGCTTCTCAAATTATAGATTCTTTTCCCTTTTTTACTACTACCCTTATTATTATTAAATATTTGGACAAAAAGTTAAAAATAAAAATTTGTTATGAAATAGAGCAAAAAGGTGCGAATGTCCAAGTTGAGATTCAAACTCAAGATCATCATTTTATAGAGACCAAGTTTAGCACATTTATGTCAAGACATACATGCAATAAGTAAATTCCAAAGAAAAGAACTGACTAATGATGGTGAGAGTCGAACATACCACAGAGCTACATAGTCATCAAGTCTACCAGTTAGGCTAGCTTTGCTTCGTGCTCTCTATGCAAAGAATGTATTTGTTTATTCCATTTCTGATACTATAAATTCTCCTCACTCTTTGTGCTTCGTGTCCTCTCTATGCAAAGAATGTATTTGTTTATTCCATTTCTGATACTATAAATTCCCCTCTCTTTGTAACACACGGACCGAATGAATAATATAGATCCATCTCTTCCTCCTCCATCTCCAATCTGCTGCTGTCCTTACATACTATTATATATTATATTATTAATAACCGATTCTTTTCCTTTTCTTTTTTTGCAAAATTTTCATTATATTCATTAGATTAATAGTAAAATAACACCCTTTAATTTTAATCTAAATGATTAATAACTGATTCTTTTTTTTTTTTTTTTTTTTTTTTTTTTTTGCAAAATCTTCTCTATATTCATATTCATTAGATTAACAATGGGTCTTCATCCACCACCATGGGCAAACTGTGATATCAGTTACTGGGCTCAGAACAACACCGTTGGGATTTCTCAGCAAACAGCTCTTTCCCCGAATCTTCACAATGAACTCGAACCATGCCATTATTTTCCCTTACTCTGAAGCCCTCGAAGGTCTGCAAACTTGATACATAGTAGTATCATGCACAGGAGGTTTGGGATAGAGGAGGGGCCCCGGGAGGTTAATGGAGAGTAAAGAACCTGTTCTGCAGATCATTCCGTTTGAAGTTCAACTCCATGTCATTTTGGGCCGTTTTCTTCACTGATTCAAGAACCTCGACTGCCCTTTCTGCTGTTCGTTTACTCTGTTCAGCACGCTCAAGCTGTCTTTTGGCCTCCTCGTAGCTGCGCTCTGCAATCACAAGCTCGGCTTTTCTCTGTGTCAAGTCCTTCCTGGCTGCTTTACTAACAAGTGCGGTGTTTCTGATTACTCTTGCTAGCTGGCCATCATTCTCGGTTGGAATATCATTGAGAATCTGCTTCAGCCACGATACCTCGAGATGAGCAGCAGCTGCAGTGTCCGAGACTTCAGTCTTCATCTGTCCAACCATCGAAACAATGGTTCCCAAATCATTAGTTCACAGTTGTCTGATGACATCACAGATTACCTCAAAGACGGAGGCCCTAAACCCCCGCGATGGGTAGGGACAGTTGGCAGCGATATCACCATGTTTTTCGAAAATCTCCTCCAATATAGGAGCAGCACTGGCTTTCACTTGGTAGCCTTTAACATTCACCTTTTCGCTATCAAAGACTGAGAATCTACGGATTTTGTTTTTCTGCTTTTCACCATCTTCCCCTACAGGTAATTCAGCAGCAGCATCCCGAACCTGTGAAAGAAGATTACTAACATTAAATTACACAAATCAATTTGTGAATGAAAATCGTGTAAGTTTCTTTAAAGAACAGCAAATATTGTTCTAAATTGACTGCTTTTATGATACTGTGAACAAAAAATTCAAGTCAAGAAGCAATCAGGATTTAGGGGTGCAAAGGCGGTGCATAATACGTGACTGAAACTGTTTTAAGAAGCAGATTTTAGATACACAATAGTGACAGGAAAATTTTACGCTTTCAGATGTTGAGGGTGCTGAATTGCTTCTGCAAACCTTGCGCTGTTCAACTTCTCGTTTCACTACAGGTAATTCAGCACCATCTCTGATTAATTTCCAGTGTTCTTTTGAAAGATTCAAAACTTCTACATCTCCATCGTCATAAATGACCTTGAAAAGGGAAAAATGGCAAACGAAACAATAGAAAGTCACAATCAATGTTGCAGCGTACAGCACTAAAAATTATATGAACAATGTAAAAGAAATCGTAGCAACAAGTGACACAAAAATGTACAAGTGCTTATAAACAAACAATTAATGAAAAATTAACACAGTTCTGATAAGATTGGTAATAACCCAATCTTCTTACCTTGTGCTTCTTCTTGAAATAGTCAAAATAAGTGATACTACCTCGATAGAACCTTGAAACACAAACTGGCATGTAAGAAAATATTCAAACATCTAAGAAACATAGTTTCACATTGCAAGAAAGTTTTTTCTTTTTAAAAGGTGTCTGTGAACAGAAGACATATAATCAGCTGCAAAACAAATGTCTACTAAATGTACCCACCTCTGGTCAACCGGCACCAAACCTTTATTCTCCTACCAACCAGCTTTTCAGCTTGCTTTCTTGCCGCCTAGGGAAAGAAATACAAGCAGAAGTGAATTTAACGTAGAAAGTAGATAAACATTAGCTCAAAAGCGTAGAAGTAGATAAACCGGTAGATGAAGGGGAGAGGGGAGCAAAAGGCACATTGACACATTCTTTGTGTTGCAAAAACAGCATATTGTAATATTCTTGAGGTGCTTTTGTTCATTAAGCAATCAGGATTTAGGCGTGCAAAGGCGGTGCATAATACGCGAATTGCTTTCAGCTGCTGAAACTGTTCTAAGAAGCAGATTTTAGATACACAATAGTGACAGGAAAATTTTACCCTTTCAGATGTTGATGGTGCTGAATTGCTTCTGGAAACCATGCGCTGTTCAACTTCTCGTTTCACTACAGGTAATTCAGCACCATCTCCGATTAATTCCCAGCGTTCTTTTGAAAGATTCAAAACTTCTACATCTCCATCGTTATAAATGACCTTGAAAAGGGAAAAATGGCAAATGAAACAATAGAAAGTCACAATCAATGTTGCGGCGTACAGCACTAAAAATGATATGAACAATGTAAAAGAAATCGTAGCAACAAGTGACACAAAAATGTACAAGTGCTTATAAACAAACAATTAATGAAAAATTAACACAGTTTTGATCAGATTGGTAATAACCCAATCTTCTTACCTCGTGCTTCTTCTTGAAATAGTCAAAATAAGTGATACTACCTTCATAGAACCTAGAAACACAAAGTGGCATGTGAGAAAATATTCAAAAATCTAAGAAAACATAGTTTCACATTGCAAGAATGTTTTTTTTTAAAGGTGTCTGTGAACAGAAGGCATATAATCAGCTGCAAAAAAAATGTCTACTAAATGTACCCACGTCTGTTCAAACGTCCACCAAACCTTTATTCTCCTACCAACCAGCTTTTCAGCTTGCTTTCTTGCCGCCTAGGGAAAAAAATACAAGCAGAAGTGAATTTAACGTAGAAAGTAGATAAACATTAGCTCAAAAGCGTAGAAGTAGATAAACCGGTAGATGAGGGGAGAGGGGAGCAAAAAGGCACATTGACACATTCTTTGTGTTGCAAAAACAGCATATCGTAATATTCTTGAGGTGCTTTTGTTCATTAAGGAACACGTTTAACCCATTATCCACATATCACAAGCAGTAAGGAAGTTAGACAATTGTCAAAATGTCCATTTATATATATTCTACTGCTTGGTTGAGATGAACAAACCTCTTCTTATTTTCAAAGGTTGTTTGAACAAAAACTCTTGAAACACTAAACCTGTTTGCTAAAATAGTTAGCGGCCAATTATTTGACCAATATTAGTTGTTTGATTTGGTTTAAAAATCAATATAAGTGTTGGATTAATTAGCTTTTTGTACTCTAAAATGCTAAAATTCAAAAAGCTACTCAAAACAACTTTTTCAATTAACTTTTTGAGAGAAGAAATTATACCAAAAAGCTATAAACTAACTGTTAATTTACCAATCATCTTTCTACAATCAGTTAATAATATCAACTAATTATATGCTCTAATTAAGGGGTACGTGACAGCCCAATAAATGTTAATAACTCCATACCTTTTCTGAAAGAGAACACTCCCTCTTACAGTTTTTTGAAGTTTCACCACTGTTGCTCCGTTTTTTAGTAGAAGCAGAACGATAACTACCATCACTTGGTTTCTTTTCCTCTTCTGAACCTTTTAGCGAATCTGAAACTGGCATCAATTATTCACCGTCACTTGGTTTGTTTTCCTCTTCAATAGTGTTGAGACTTTGAGATGCGGTAGGCTTTAAGATCTCAGCCTCACTCATACCTGATGTAAAATGTGATCCCTTAGAAACCAAATGTTTACGAGGACGAGCAATTCTTTTTTTGCTCACTTTCCCTTTGCAGGGTGTTTTATCAGATTTTCCTTCGACACTGATCCAAGTGTCACCATACCCTTCCTCTGGCATTATCAAAGAATTTGGTTTACGCCCTCTTCTCCTAGTTGGAGGACTGAGGCTCTTTTGTGCAGCAAATGCACTGGTTCAGTTTTCATGGGAAGCTAAGGCGTTACCTTGGTTCACAGGGGAAGCTAAGGCGGAGAACGGGCAGCAGTTTCGTCGTCGTCGTCAGCAGGGGCTGAGGCGGAGACCGGGCAGCAGCTTCTTCGTCGGCGAGGGCGGAGGCGGAGTCTTCCGGTGTTGCTGTCGGCTGAGTTAGGGCTTGGGAGTTGGGGAAGCGATAGAAAGGTATACGATTAGGTAATTGGGGTCTGGGGTAGGGGTGTAAATTTAATTTTTAATATTATTATTACTAGTACTAGTAGTTGCGCCCGTGCGATGCACGGCCATATTATTATGCCGATATGTATAAAAAAAATTGTTTTATTCATTATATGGTCAATAAGGTTATAGACGTCACAAATACACAAAATAAAATATTTCATTGTAAAATAATGAAACAACAATTACAAATTATTAAAGATTTCTTTATAAACTACATTTTGAGTCTTATTTAAAAGACCCCTAGACTCGCCACATATTAAGACCTTAAGACCATCTGGATTACTGACCCAAGAAACTGCAACATACAATTGTCCATGGTTAAAAACTGGTTTTTTCAGTAACAAACCAACATGTGAAAGCGTTTGACCTTGACTTTTGTTGACGTCATTGCATATGATAACATCAGTGGGAACTGCTTTCGTTGAAACTTGAATGGAAGTCTTGGGTCTGAAGGAGTCAAAGATAGTCTCGGTATCAAAACCTTTGTACCTGCGTTATTCCCAGCTATAATTTTTCCCTCGATAACATGATTTCCCAACTGTGTTACTATTAACCTTGTACCATTGCACAACCCCATAGAGTGATCTATATTTCTCAACAGCATAACTGGAGTTCCAACTTTCAACGTTAGAGAGTGATTTGGTACACCCGAACACCTCAAGCTATTTAAAAATTCTGTTGTGTGTACTTGGGATTGCATATCAAAGTTTGAATCTGCCTTGCAAACAGAATCACAACTCAAGTATGTCATTGAAGCAGCTTGATTAATACCATTCATGTATTCATTGACCTCATCAACTACATCTAAGGTTGGAGCTAATATAGCTCTATTCTCCAGTTGACTTTCATCCATGTTCCCAGTACGGTAGTCAGGAAATGTGCTTTCAACAATTTGCCTAATAGGATCAACCTCGTTTTCTAATACAAATGAAGACGGTATCATTATATTGCAATCAACACCATTGTCTTCACCAAGATTACCATCACCTAAATCCGCAATCCATTTGGCAAAACTATCTAACTTTTGAACATCATCTTCATTAGTAAGCCCTTGCAATCTTAAATTCTTGGTTAGACGCAGAACTTCACAATTATTCCACAAGTAAGATGAATTAATACTGGCTTGAACAATATCTTGTCTAGTACCTTTTGGGATAACGGGTAAAATTTGTCTAAAGTCTCCACCCAACACCACTGTTTTCCCGCCAAATGTCATTGATGAGCTCCTTGAGTTCTTGAAACGCATTAAATCTCTCATTGTTCGGTCCAATGCTTCAAAACAATGTTTGTGCATCATCGGAGCTTCATCCCAAATTATGAGTTTGCATTTGATTATCAATTCAGCAAGCGCACTGCCTTGCTTGATGTTGCAAGTGGAGTCCTCATTAACAGCAATTGGTATAGCAAACCTGGAATGTGCAGTCCTACCACCAGGCAGCAGCAACGAAGCTATACCGCTTGATGCTACATTTAGAACTATCTCGCCCTTGGACCGTACAGCTGCTGAAATAGTCCTCCACAAAAATGTTTTTCCTGTCCCACCATAACCATAAACGAAATACATTCCACCTTTCTCTGTCTCAACATCTGCCATCACCTTATTGTATATGACTAACTGTTCATCGGTTAGTTTCGGATGCAACGAATTATGTTGATGCAATAGAGCTTCCCTATCATATGACATCTCCTCGAACAATAACCTGTTACCGGAAAACAAATCGTTGTTTTCATCTGGCATTGGCATAGGTGGATAATCTGATAGAGATTTGTTCCAAGCATTCAACAACTTCTCCATTTCAATCAAAGCAAAATTTTTTTTGTTGAGATTCATTTAGACTTAAATCTACAATATAAGAAGAAAAAACCGTAAGATGTAATGCTTTAAAGAATGGATATGAATAATTAATAATATAACAATAAATGTTACCTGGGACTGAGAGGTTCCTTCTACAAATATATTGAGCATCATCTGATAAGTATTGCCAAACCATCTCCCAAACATTTTCTGGCTTGGACATTGAATTGGATGTCAGAAGTGTAACAAACAACTTACGTAGAGAATGGGGTAAAGACCAAGATGCTGCCTCAGTGATTGCATCAACATACTCTTTATCATCTTCGATTAATCCGCGTGCATAACATGCATCTCTAAATGAATTGTATTGAACACCATCTACTTGTTTAATCTCATCAAATGAAGTCGGTCCACGAACTATATTAAGTAAACATCTAAGATAAAAAATCTCACCAGTATTTGGTGGCACATAAAAGATTCGACCAATTGCCCAATTTCTCTGCCTAGGTTGCCATTCTCTTTTATCATTTTTCCAAACAAATTTGGTTGGCATCTGTGAGTAAGTCAACTGCCTCCCTGCAGCGTACTTTTTATTAGCCTCAAACCAAGCAGTAAACATGCTTTGAGCTACTGTCGGTCTATTTACAACATCATTGACCAAATCGTCGTCATGAAATATTATTGATTGCTCATTGGGGAGATGAAAACTCAACCGCTCAACCGATGGATTCCTGAATTGTATGTCAAACGCAAAAATCCTCCACGCGGCCTCAGGGGGTGAAATATATCTACAGTCATAGTACATCTTGATTTCATCTATAATCTTTCCAGTAGATTCTTCCACCCCACTGTTGTAGAATTCAGCCGTGACCCTATCATTACCCTTGTTGACGTACTTGAATAAGTACTTTATTGACCTAGATTGGTTGCACCACTCCACATTAATATGAGCCCTGTACTTCATAAGCAAATGTCGATTGTGTGGAACAACATATCTACTATCAAGGTCAATCCCATTCCTCCGAACTGTACGACCATTATCTCTACGCCGATATATTGGATATCCATCAAAATCCACTGTTGAGTTTTCCACAAATTTTTTGGGAAAGAATTTAGAACACATACCTTTTATCATGCAAGGTGAATTCTTCCTAACTGCACCACATGGACCGTGAATCATAAATTCTGCTACAGCTTGATAATACTCGGGTTCGCACAGTGGGCTTGGAATCTCGGCAGATATGATCCGGTCAATATCTTTAGGATTAGGGTAAGGGTTACTCTTGCTCAAGAATATCAGAATGTGAGCATGTGGCAGTCCCCTTTTTTGAAATTCAATGGTGTAAATTACTGCAAGAAACAAACAATATGCACATGGATGTTTAAAATCGTTGAAAATTTTAAAAGATATGTAACAACCAAAAATAATCAAATATATTGATGAAATGACATAAATTACATGCATCTACCACTCCAAAAAATTTCTTTTTCTGAATGTCTTTAATTAGTGCATTTAATTTCAGTTTAAACACACGGCATACTATATCCGGCCTATCTTCAGCTTTGAGTTTCCTTGGTTGTAAAAATCTTTCAATCTCTGGCCACTTAGGATTACATGTGAATGTAATAAATAGACTTGGATAACCGATCCATCTACAAATAGTCATTGCATCTTGGTAATTCTGCACCATATATCTTGCCCCCCCGGTAAAACTTGATGGCAAAATTATGCGTTTTCCTTGGGCAGTAGGATCTACTTCGCCACGTGTTAACGCATCTGTCAAACATTTGTATGATTCACATCGAAGTGACTTTTGATGAGACCTAATATAAACCAAGCGTCCTGATTCTACCATGGTATAAGCATCAACCAAATATTGTTGGAACAACCGCCTAGCATAAAGCAAAGTTGACATTTCATTGAACCTATCTTGCAAACGGAATGAGAAATACTCCCTGGGACTAAGTTTACTCCTTGCATTTGAACTCCTGCCTTCAAGAGTAGTAAATTGTATGTCGTCTCTGTATCCGTCTTCACCATAAGGAAAGAGTAATGGGTACTGCAGTGGGAGATATGCCGGATTTAATTCAGTTATTCTTTGAAAATGTCCAGCTTTGGACTCCACCAATATATCTCTTTCTCCCATGTTTGGGTCTAAATCACCAACAATCAATGCAGCCACCTCCCCCACCTGCGGCAAGTTATATGTCCTTGCATCCTTGGTCCTCTTACCGATGAGTTTGATTTTAATATCAGCTCTATGGTTACTTTCCATCTCTGTTTTGGCCATTCTAAAACTCTGAACCAAAACATTATTTTCATCCAGTGCATCTTTAATGTCTTTAACAATTTCACGATGGATTGTAATGTTTGACTCATCTTCCCTGTTTGGAATATAAAAACCCATACAATTTTATAATGTATATTGTTACAAAAATGATGTTAATCTATTTAAAATAAATAAACGTACATAACTTACCCAAGTGCCGTTATACGATTTGTGATCTCGTTTTGAGTGTCATAAATATACAATTGAGCAAACTTTGGTCTCTCGCCAGATTGTGGGAGCAAACTACCCATCAAGTGAAAATTTGACCATGTAACCTAAAAGTCGGTGGTGCACTACCATTGTTGACCGTTCTGTCAATTTTTCCACCCATGGAAGTAAAGCAAAACATATTGTTAAAGCACCGAATGTTCTTTAGGAAATGGTTACTCTTTTGATCTAGGTTAAAGAACAACTGCCTGATTGCCATTGGTGGAATATTAGGATGCGGCAACTTTATCTTTCCATGACCGCAACATAGTGAATATTTGGGATTCCGAACACCGCTAGATTTATTTACTCGCTCCTCTAACCAAAACATAGCTCCACAATGATTGCATGAGTACGTTTGATCACCAATATCACTGTAATAATCTAGAAGAAACCAAATGTTATTACTCTTACCTAAAAAAAATAATAAAGGTTATTACTCGTACCTATACTCACCATTAACATTTGCCGAGTTTGACGGTGTATCATGGACCACACTATCAAAAGCGGACAACAAATTAAATTGCATTGACGCCTTTGGTGTTGAGCTATTGTCATCCACAACGCACGATCTTGTTGTTCCTACTATAAGATGATAAAAAACGTTATTATTCATAAACTAAACACTATACATTTATATTTTTAAAAAGGATTTACTTAATTGCGCAACTTTACCATTTGTTAGATTTGACAAAGGCCCTCGCCTTTCGTGGGACACCATAGGGGTAGTTTCGAGCACGTTAGATTGCAATGTCATTGATTGAGTCATATTTTGTAAAACTATTAGGAAAAAAAAATCAATTTTAATGGACCAAAAAAAAATCCAAAAATAATATAGTAATTATATATAGATATATAATTTATAATAGAAATTTGACTATTAATACCTCCACTTTGTCCACCCAAAAAACGGCTATTATTAACATGTGTAATCTTCTCTCTATCACTTGCCAATTGTAGTGCAATTGAACACTCTAAACAAAGAATTTCAAAAAATCTAACATTAATCTCTATAATATAAACAAATAAAATAAAATTTATTATACCATATTACCGACAATATTGATTAAAATAAGAGGACTAACCATCCATTACAGTTACTTTTGGTGTGTTGAATGTTGCATTTTCTGTACAATTAGATAATAAAATAAAGAATTACTAATAAATCTTACGAAAGAATACAATGGTGTTGTATGTACTAATAAAAGACAATAAATCTATATTGCACCCTATAGATTATCACATTAAATAAACAAATTTACCCCAAAAAAACAAATGCTATATATGTAACATTCCTAAATTAAAAAACAATAAACACCACACCAAAGGTTCCTATATAAATAAGCGCATGTATAATTATGGCTGATTAACCATCAGTAACCATAACATCTCATACCATTGTATACGTTTAAATGTTGTGTAGAAAGACCCCCACACCGTGTCCCAATAAAACGCCTCTTATTTTGAGATATTTCAGTAACAAATGTAAGCTGAGATCTATCATTTGACACTTCGACTGCCATTGAGCACTCTAAGCAAAAAAAAAAAGTACAAAAAGCTAACATTAATATCCCTATAATATAATATGAATATCACAAATAAATGTACTATAAAATAATACCTATATTGCAATTAGAAATAAAGGAATTACCAGCAATCGTAGTTCGTTTCGGTGTGTTGAATGTTCCACTTTCCGTACACTCATTTTCTATCATGAAAAAATAAAGATTTTATAACCAATAAGATAAATAAGCATGAATATAATTTATGATTTTGAATTAAATAATACAACGATTACATAAAATTAACAATTCGACTGAACAAACATTAAAACATATATGTCGTTCCAAAATTGAAATACAATATATGAATCATAATAAACACCATATATAATACTAATTTAACAAAAATGAATAAAATAACCATATTAAGATAATTTATTCCACCACATATATAGTAGCTACTAATAATAGATAGGCATACTATATATTATACACATATATATACATGTTATCTACTGCGCATTTTATATATATATATATATATATATATATATATATATATATATATATATATATATATATATATGTGTGTGTGTGTGTGTGTGTGTGTGTGTGTGTGTGTGTGTGTGTGTGTGTTTATTTATTTATTTATTTAATAAAAAAAAATATAAAGGAGTGTCCAGAAGTGAGACTTCTGGACACAACCCGATCCTAATTCACACTTGTCTACTTCCCTCTTCTCCCTACGATTTCTCACTCCGTCTATCTCTCTCTATCGCTCTCAATCTATCTCTGTAATCCAGACGTCTTAAGCGTTAATGGCGTCTGAATTTTGTATCGGCCATTATACACAAAAGACATTCTTGATCCAATCGCAGACTATACTGCGATTTGCTTCGAGAGATAGATAGAAGAGGCCGATTTTAGGGAAACCCTAAATTTGTGTTTGGGGTTTTAAATACTCTTTTATTTGAAGGAAGATCTACTGAGATGGTTGTTTGTTTGTACGGATACACTCAAGGTGGTTACTTGTAAGACTGTAAGGTACTCATTCTTACTTAATCTCTCTATCCTTGCTAAAATGTATATTTGTATAATTAGGGTTTGAACCTGACTAATTTAGCGACCGAGTGTTGTATGTTGCACTTGATTTATATTGATTTGCATTTTCTAACGTTAAGCTTTCCTATATTTACCCAGAAAATTGTTTTTTGAATATGGGGATACTATAGTGTTATCCTTGCGCTCCTATGAAAATTTATGCTTTTTAAACAGAAATGATTTGTAAAAAATGTTTATACAGTTGATAATTGCAAGAAAGAAAAAAATCAAATTTCATAGGAGAAGGTTTATAGACAGAAAATAAGAAAGACGCAAAAGCTATGAGAATAGTAGAAGTTAAGATAAATGTTCAATGTACCTTTGTTTGAAATTGTGTCCTTCCTTTTGGACCCAATGACAGTTGATTTAGTTAACTTCCTCATTTGCTTGATCTGCTCAATGTTTGGAAAGTGTTTCTCTGTAAGTAGTGTGTTTAGTTGAGAATGAATTGTGTACTCTCCATTTAAATGTGATTATCTGATTGTAACTGAGTTTAAAACATAAAAGCCCAATGAAACTCCCTAGAATTTGGCTGGAATTCATTAATGATTACTTCTTTTGGGAAGCAGAAAAGACACACCTTGAAAAGGTAGTATTTATTCCCATTCTTTATCCTGGCATATGTTGGTGTCAAAACAGTTATTATGGTTTCTAGCTTTACAACATTACTGATTAAATTTAATTTTGATGTCAACAGTCACCTAATTAGTATATGTGTATTTTGTTTCAAAATTTTAGATCCAGTACTGTTTTTGATTACCAGTTTGATATGTTTATTATTTTCTGTTTTTGAAAATAGTTCACAATTCTGTTTGTCTTAATTTATTCAGATTCTAACATTTGTTTTCAAGGAAATGGCACATGATGATAATAATTTCTGATGCCATTACATTTCAGAGTTACGATATACCATATTACTATATTTGAAGTTTAATTTAAGGTGATCTATTGCATTCCACTCAGGGCAAATACAACAAAGGAAGGCGTCATGTTATACTTACTTACCTGGCGCACCGAGTCTTCAAGATTTCACAACTTGACTATAGATTTATTTATAAAGTACAATCCTATTTTGATTGTTTACTATGTTTGTCTGAATATACAAAATCAAAATCATTGTTTTTGTTTGAAATTGTATGTTCTAAGACTTTGTTTAGACTTAAGTATTTACTACTTGACTGTTTTGATTGGGAGAAATGTTTTGATAAATGAATGTTTGATTTGGAATTTTGTTGTAGTCCTTATTTGGAAGAAACATTATGGCTTTAATATAGAGAGAGAATAGGCATACGAAAGTATATTTGTATTAATTACATACTTTGCTGATTTTGATTGAGAAGAAGCTATTTTTTAGCTATTAAAAGTACTTGACTATTAAGCTGTAGTCCTTGACTATTAAGCTGTTTTCCATGACTATTAAAAGTACTTGAATATAGATTTTATTTAAAAGTACATGACTATTTTGATTGTTTACTATGTTTTTCTCAATATACTTGGACTTTAATTTAAGCTGTAGTCCGTTATTGAAATATTTATTACATTTATTCATAGAGAAGAACCTATTTTTTAGTTCTTAAAAGTACTTGACTATTAAGTTGTAGTCCTTTATTGAAAGTACTTGACTATTAAGCTGTTTTTTAGATATTTAAACTACTTAATGTTTATATATGATTAAGCCATGATATTTCAATTTGATATTCTTTATGTTTTGTATGATATTCTTGATTTGGTTAAATTTCAAATGTTTATTGACTTTGTATATGATCTATAAAGTAGTTTAGTATTTTAGAATGTCATGAAAAGAGTGTGAAGCCAAGTTCAGATGTTGACAAAACTGAACTCATGGAAAAAAAAAAAAAAGAACACAGCCAAAAAGGTGCCATTGAAGTAAAATAGGTGAGAAATGAAACAAATGATAATCATAGCTTTATTGTTCAGTTAAAAAACTTCAACAGTTGGATCAAAATACATAATGCAACTGATGAATGAACAAATTCCTCTATTTCAGGTGTATTGGAAGTTCAAGGCCAAAACAATAAAGATACTATGCCTCACAGATAAGTCATTTTAAATTTCAGCCACTCATGTTTCTTGCAAATCTATTTCTTGTGCCTGCCACTTGATATCTGCCTGTTCATACCTGCAATGAGTTAGGAAATAGACAAACCACAGCATAAAAACATATAAAAACCATTGATAATGCACTGTAAAAGAAAGCACTAATAGACAGTGCATAGTATCCTTGTCAAAACATCAACAATCAAACATAATATGTACTCAGTAGTACATATTATCAAAATCCATATTACAAAAACAAATGAGCACCCAAGTCACCAGTATCACATTGTCCATCATTGAACCACAAAACACAAACTTAATTTTACTCCTATTTAACCAAAACAGCTTTTGCTTTCTTAACATCTCTACTTGATGAAAACTTA